GCATCTTCAGCGAGAAAAATGACGTTAACAATTTGGAGGATGAGACTGATCAATCAGCTATTTTTCTCGTGTGCTGATTAATGTATTTCATGCAAATCAGGGAAACAATCACCATCATTTAATCAAGTTAGATATTGACAATTGCAGGAATTGGTTATTTTATGACAGAAACACGGTAGTTCTCTGGCCCAGGCAATGGGGGATTTAAACCAAAGCACTTTACATTTTGGCACTTCATTTGATTTCCTTTTTTACGACCGAAAATCAATCTCCATTTTACGTTCTGAAATAGTCTATTTTATTTCTTAACACCACTTTATCATAATAGAAGTGGCTAAATGCACACATCAATCACAAAACACATGAATCCATGAAAAAGTTTCCTTTTTTTATTACAATTTTCTACTTTTTTAATTACTTTTTTGCAAAAAATATTTCAGATCCTTGTAAAAATAAAAACTTAATGAATATTTTGGACGGTATATGTATTTAATATACTGGTATATTGAAACATGTTAGGGGTAGGGTAGTATTTTATTTCTTTATCTGAAAAGCAATAATTCCACGTAACAAATAAAAGTAATTCATTTGATATGTACGATTTGGATTCAAAAATACAGATTTCCAACTGTATTTCTACACTGAAATAAGCAGAATAGAGTCTTTTCTATTGCCACCTAATTTCTTTCTTCAAGAATTTCTTACAATATTCACCCTTTTCTCTACAAACTAAAAGATCGTAAGGAAATGAAACCCATCAATGAATGAGCTGAAAAAAATACACGACACTAGTTGAATCATTCGCAGTTTTATGAAATTCATTGATATGTAGATAAACTGGTTAATAAATGAGTTAACAGAAGATAATTCAACTTGAGGCATATTACTTTTGAAAAAAAAATCGTTTCGATTTTACATTAGATTACATACGGCGCAGCTATGATTGTTTTAAAATGCTTGTATGAAAGAGACAAAGTTTAATGTCTTGCTAATATATGTTCTAACTATTTTTTTTTTTTACTTTTTATCCACTTTTAAAGGGAATTCGGGTAAGTATTCTTCGTCATTATAATTAATAACCTGAAATCAGCATTAAAGCTAATAATTTATGATATCATCAAATCACAGGATATCCTTTTTTCAATTTAATGATTTTATTTGACTTCAATTCTATTTCCATCTTTAGGACAAGCGTTATTTCTTTCGCATTCTCACACATTTCCAATATGCATGCATGTATTTAAAATATTCTTCTTTTCTTTCTTTAACTTAATTACTGGTGTTAGATGGTAAGTTAAGAAATTTTATTTCCATGAATGTTGTCTGCAATGTGCATAAATTGTACTTTAAACATCGAAATTAAATATTATATTTTGTGAAGTTCAGAGAATTTTCATTCCAACATTGTTGTCGTATTTATCCAATAAGCAAAATGCAACCTTTACGGTAGGCTTTGTTTTCGTTTTATAAACAGAAACAGGATTTAGCAAAGTTGAACTTCTTGCAGAAAAATCAATTTTACGGCATTTTGTTTAAAAGCCCTTCACCGTTATATATGGCGACATCTGTTAAATGAAACATATGGAGATAACGAACAGTATTCAAGATCAAAGGTCCATAAAACAATACAAAATAGGAGCAGAGCAAACACGGACCTCCGAAACATCAGAGGTGGAATCAGGTGCCATGGAGGAGTGAGCATCCCCTGCCGACCAGTCACACCCGCAGTGAACAATATTGAATAGGACTAAAAACAACTTTCAATCAAAATCAATCAAAAGATAATTGAACATAAAACGTCAAAACTCAAAGTTCCATTTCAAGAAAATTGAGCTTTTTGAATAGTAATAATGACTTATATGAAATAGTTTTTTTTCGATCTAAATACACTCCAATTTAAGATTTATAAAATGAATGGAATATACCATTAAATGAATTTGTCCGACATGTTTGAAACCATTATAACTCCATTTATCTGAACAATTTATTGGGATCACAGGTGGGTATGACCAGTCAACATAAGATGTTTAATGCTCTACGGCACATGATCCCAACTCTAGTGTTTCCAGTGGTCCATGTTTTTCCTCTGATCTCTTGTCGTTTTGTTTCATGAACTTATGATATAGATCACTGTATTTTTTTTTTCTAGAAAGAAGGCATTTCATATTATATAAACGATGTTTTTATTACTTGATTTTGGCAAATTATTATCATAACGATGGATCGAGGAAAGTGTTATTGTAAACATAGGAAGTACCCTCGATGTTGTTGGACTCGAGGACTGCAGACGCTAATGTTGAAAAAAAGCATTTGATTTTACAATAAATGCTCTATAATCTTTGCTTTTTAGTCATAAAGACTCACCTTTTGCTTCAATATAGATTTTATTTTTAAAGTTCTTTTACCATTGCTTTCCTAGTACCTCGCTAAGGTTAATTGCTAATAATAAATTTTGAGAGCAATGACCAGTTTGAGATCTTCATTTGCAAAATTTAAAACATTTGTGAATCCCTATTTTCAATGAAGTCGTCAATTATTATTACTACTTGATGCCTGTGGCAAATAGTTATACAAAATATGATACTGTTTGCGTGAACGATGTTATTTCATAATCCTAGTATGTAAATTCTTACTTTTCCTCCTCCACAACCAATAATGTGCACAGCGTTGAAACGAAATAAAAATGCATTGGCTTGTTTATGTTCTGACAAATCCTGAATTCTACATTTTAGTATCTAAGATAATTAGTTCATATATCATAAATTTGACTCCGCCTGCGACTTCCAGAAAAAAAATCGTTTTCGTTCCCGAAAATTTAATTTATTCCGCTTATCTGTTGAAAACTAAGGGCAAGTAATCTGTGTTACTGGTCGACGTGGGAAACTGACTGTTAAAGGCACCTCATCCAACCTCGGATGTTTCCAGGGGTTCTTGTTTTTTTTTTTCCTCCTTAAGATTGGTTTTGCTCAAAATAAATAGTGAAGATAGCAATTAAATTGTTTCGATTTAAAATAAATCGACAAAAATAAAAACAATAAAACTATCTGAATATAGAATAAAACACATATCCCTTGAGTCAGAGATGGGATCGGGTGCCTAGATGGAGTGAACATCCCCTATTGTCAGGTGACACCCGCCGTTTGCCCTATATATTGATCAGGTAGACGGAACATTCAGTATAAGTACCGAGGTCTCATATTTTGTAAAAGACATGTCACTTAAAAGGCTCGATGACAGGTTGTATTTGCTTACATTTGTCATTATAAAAACCATTGCGATAGAATTTACGACTTAAAACAAGGTTGTTTACATCCCTGTTACATTAATGGATTCACGAGATCGATCTGTTACATTTAGAGAACTTTGTTTTCCATAAATAGACACTGTCCAAAGACTTGTCATAAGTTACGGATGCTTTTTTTTTTACGCATTGCTTAGGTCTTATTGATTTAATAGTATTGCAATGAAAAATGTTTTGAATTGTATTTAGAATTTAATTCTGAGTTTTTATGCTACGTTTTAAATTTTAAACCATTACCTTATCTTTTAAAAAATAAAAAAGTTACTGCGCAAAGGATATTTTTAAATCAAATACAAGAATTCAGGCATGCGCATGAATACAAGAGAATAGATTCATATGAAATGAAGTTTCATGAAATGAAACAGTGTATGAAACTGTCTATAGATTGACAAAGACAACTACATTTGTTTCATTTTTTGGATATTTTACCAAAAGAAATACGCTTATGGTAACCTAAGAACAAAACTGATAAATTTGATGTCTTCAACTTTTTCAGCAACATCTTTTATACCCTTATGTTGCTGCATAGTTGCTGCATATGGAGTTTTTGTGTTTTGCAGCTGATTCGAAGTTATGTCAGTCTGATTAAAACCAGCCCCCATCTCCTTTCACTCGTCATACACCTGACGAGTTAAAGGAGATGGGGGCTGGTTTTAATCAGACTGAAGTTGTGTTTAAAATATTTTTTAACGGGTTGTACTGTTACTTAGATAATAACATTATAACCAAACATCCTATTTTTCTTTTTCATTATATTACTCTGTGTTAAATGTGATGCTTTTGATAATATTTTAAAGCAATTATACATAATTAATAGTTTTTCCTAAAGTTACGTGAATTACTGCATATCTTATTTTATTGCTAATTAAAGTGACTTTTCAAAAGACCTTCTCTGAGCGTAGTGGCTAAAGTTTACTTATACATTATGAAAGCTTTGACTTATAATAAACGAGAATTAAGTTTTTGCATATAAATTATTACAATGTTTTCTCTTTTCCTTCTCGCTAACCGATTCATCAGATGTGCAGGGTACGTATGGATATTTATAATTTACTGTTGTGATAAATTTATTTTAAAAAATAAGCAATTTGCATATCTTATATATAATATTGTGTTTTATGGTTTATTTACAGATTCATCCAAAGGTAAGGATTTATTTTCGATTTTGACGTAAAATTCTGTCATTAAATAATTTTACTTTTTCTATAATATTATATATTTCCTCTATTACCCATACGTGTTATTTGAACTATTCTACACTTACATAAAGTTTTTTGGAACAAATTGAGCCAAATAAATTGAATAATGATCCTTTGGAGTTCCAGTAGGATGGCAAATATTATCATGGAATATATTTCTTAGTGATCAGTTAGTATTCTAGAAAATTGTTAACAATTAAATTCCAGTAGGGTGGCATTTTCTTCAAAGAAAAGAAAGATATCAAAGCATAGGGCTCTTCGCGGATGTAATCGGTGGACAGGGGAAGCTCACTCCCCTTTGGCACCTGATTCCACCTTTGGAACTTCCAGGGGTCCGTTTTTTATGCTCTCTTTACAGATTTGTATTGTTTATAGATCTTTAAGATCGATTTCTGTTCGTTATTTTCATCTTTTTCATATATCTGTATTTTAAGTCGTAAAGCATACTCTGCATGACAGCTTTGAGTAATCTTATCAAGATTTTTTTTCTATATTTTTACAGAATTGCCCAGGAGCTGTAAGTCTGTTATTAAATACTTCTACAGATATTGTCTTCTTGTTTCTTCTTTCATTAATAACAATAAACTCCAAATAACCCCTATCAGTCATCTGTAAACCTTAATTATGAGACAGAATCTTTCATATTTCTGAATCATTTATTTCAACATGTCCCTACATTCAAAATTTATAGCTTTGTAAATTAGGATTTATCGTGTTAAGCACAGCATCTTAATTAAGTGTTGTTATATCAGGATACCAAAGCATTATTAAAACGCTTTAATTTTAAATTTCAGTTCAGAAAAAGAAATTCGGAAATTTCCTTAATACGCCAGGTGAGCTATTTTCCTAAAATGCGTGCATTGTGTTTTAGACTGTTCACCATTCAGGAAACTTTATGATAATTGGGGATCATTTACACTTGGGAGGAATTTCAAGTGAAAGAATCCGATTCTTCTGACCTTTTATTGTTAACTTGCATGTTCTTTAAATCAATGTTATACTATTTGCATATGAAGATAACACTTGTCATCACTCAAATAGTGGTTCTCATGCAATTCTTGCATAAAAGTTTTTCAGTTAAGTCAAAGAATCAATGCAGTCAGCAATATAAGCTTGCCACTTTTTCCCATATATTACTCCATTTATTTATACGAAGGACACACATTTTAACGGATGACAGGGGGCGCTTTCTCCTCTTGATCACCTTATCACACTTCCGGTGTATATAAGTTTTTCAACTATTCGATTTGTAATCTTTTTTAAAGACTGGGATCATTGCTTCCTATCCAACTTTTTAAAAATAAATTATGGATTATTATCACTTACAAAATTGATGCTACTGAAGGCAAAAGTATGGTAAACAATATCAAAGATATTTTATTTCTTGTTTGAAGTCGATACGAATCGGAGGACATTGAACATGTGACATCACGCATGTGATATCCCACCTCCGATGTTTTGGAGTACCGCGTTTGCTCTGCTCCTATTTTGCATTGTCTTACGGACTTTTAATCTTGAACACTGTTCGTTATCTTCATATGTTTCATGATCTTTTTGTGATATCTCAGTTTCCTCTATCAACTGCACATCTACAAAAAAGAGGAATATATGGCGTTTTATATTATTCTCGAGATATTTTCGTGAATTTTTCTTAGAAAATAAAATTCCAGTGAAAATTTAAATGAAATGTATGTACGCGCATACAAGTTACGAATAATTTAAAGAATCATTTGCAAAAAATGTCTTTGAAAGTTATGAAATCCCTTAAAATAAAAAAAAAATCCAGAGAGTATTATTGTATTTGTATGTTTTCCAGAATATAACACTGATTGACAAATCTCTTTTCGAACAAAATCCTTAAATGTAACTGATGAGAAGAACAAATATATTTATTATGTATATTTCCATTACATACTGTAAATCACATATTAACAGGGGGTCAAATTTTCGAGTCTTTCGAGGAAAAGAATATTGGTTTGTGGGGATATGATTTCGTGCGTGGAAAATGTTTAGTAGTAATGCATATGAAAATTTACATTTCGTGGTGGTCATAAATTCGTGTGTCTCTCCATACATCGAAAACTACGAAAATTAAACCCCCACGAAAATTAGTGATTTCACAGTACATACGGTTATATTAACAGGACCCAGTGGCGGCGTCTTTGACAGCCAGTGAAACAGACAATGAGGGATTCGGGTGGTCCTTGTCTGGTCTTCTTGGTGCCCTACACAGATTACATCATAATCCATTCTCCTATAATGAGGACGCCATTTGATGATGGCACATTTTTTCACCATTGACAAGGTACATGCGATAGACGGTTTAATCATAGAAGGAATGTCATTACTAATTTTTTTTTCAATCTATAACTGCGAACTGTGCTGATGAAAATAATCGGAAAAAATGACAAAATAGGACCGTTAGGAAAAATTCGATTAGTTTAAGATATTTCAATTTTAATCAATAAACTAATTTTTTTACATAAATATTCTAGTTTAAAGGATTTCATATTTGAAAATGACATGATGATTTTTTGAGTAACAAAGTTAAACAATTTCATTTTTAATTATTTTTTCCTTTCAGATAGACCATTCCTCACTGAAAATTCCTAAATTTGAAAATTTTAAAACTGTTAACGTTTATTCAGAAAAGCAGGTTTACTGTTGAAGACAATAAGTTTAACTGGATTTTTATAAATACAATGTATGTAAATACAGATTTTTATCTTCATGTCCTTTACAATACAGGAAATCTGTTATCTTAATGTAAAAATAAAACTTTGTATAAATGAAGGCATTTTTATTTGAAATTGATTCAATTAAGGATGAGAATATCAAATAGTTAATTATCTCACAAAACTTGCAAGGAATACAAAAGAAATCAACGAGCTCCAGGAAATACCAGAAGTGGGATCAAGTGCCTTGGAGGAACAATCACCAAGTGTGGACCTTACACTACTGTCGTGGTCCCTATGACTTGATCAGATAGACGGGAAAATCCGTTGTCAAATTTATTTAAAAACTAAGGCCTTTCAATTAATATGATATATGTTACTCAAAATACGTGTCGTGCGCCTCAGTGAAAGGTGTAGTTGTTTATTACATATTATGTATTTGGCTAGTGGCGTTCAGATTGTTAATATTGATTATTTCACCATTATTTTCACACTCAATTGTCTACGCATTTTATTTCGTTTACCTGACAATGACATAGGGCACGCAGCGAGTATGACCGATCCCTGTAGGATGCACACTCCTCCATGGCACCTGATCCAATCTATTTTTTCAGAGGTCCCTGCTTGGTATGTTCATAATTTGTATAATTGATTAGACTTTTTAGTAAGATGATTATTCCATATATTTACAATCCACGTACATGTACATATTCTTGAATTAATTGCTCCATGCGCATCTGGATATTTCTTGTGTATTTTTCTCTGAGTTATTGTGAATTGTCAATAAAGCATGCTGCCAGAAATGAAGATACAGTCGTACCTTACTTTTTTATAGAATTTAATTCTATTTTTTAAAAGTTGAAATTGGAATTTTTATCGAGTATGAGATATTTATCTAAAAATAAAATTTTAATAATCCATTGTGTTTTATTTTTTATGTTAAAAATAAAAACTTGTAGCTTTTAGATTTTATGAAATTTCTCCCAGTATGACTGATATCTAAAACAAGCTACAGAAACATCCACATCTTGTAGCCAAAAAAACAAACAAACAAACCGGAAATGAGCGGATATATGTTTCCGTTTTTCTCACTACAACAGTTGTTCCATATTGCTTAGAATGTTTAATTTAAAAAATTAATTAAGACGTAATAACCATGGGGGTAATCTACTCTGGCCTTTGGTCAGTAAAGGAAACTCCGAGACTGACAAAGAGAGCAAAGTTCCTAGAGGAAAGAAGAAGACAAATTGATGAAATGTTAACAGAGGAGGATAGAAAAAAAGCTGGTAAAATTTGTTCACATGATTATATTATCGAGCCACTTTCAAAATCACACCTGTAACATATTATTTTTTTTTTTAAAATTGCAACCACTTTCTACCTGGAATATCAAATTTGTTAACCTTTATGAAGTAGTAACTAATTAGTATCATTTCAGTTTCGAAATGCCATTTTCCTTGTAGATCAAAGTATCAATCGACAGAGGAATTTGTTCACTAAGATGCCATCCATACTGACTGACACTGAAGCAAGGGTCCTGAGAATTGAACCAAAGGAATATTCAAAAGACTTTCCGTTTGAAAACCTTGTCTTCAATGGCGGAGGGGCGAAGGCCATTGCTTATGCTGGTGCCGTCAAGGTCATTTTGTATTCTAGGAATGTAGACTTTCTTGTTGTTCAAGAAAGCAACTCTCGTATAATTTTTTTAAAACAAGAATTTTCCTAATTTTTCTGACGAAAAATCTGTATAATCTTTAACTGAAAATTCATTGTACTCTTCTAGCTTTTATCAATGCTGAAAAAAATAGCGATTTAACAATACAATAAGTATTTTAATGAATCTAATTAACTTATATCCATTTTATGTTGAATAATTATTGATATAAAATATTTTTATCAGTGTTTGGAGGAGATGAATGTTATGAACAATATCAAACGTTTTGGAGGGAGTAGTGCTGGCTCGGTGTTGGCGGGCCTCTTGGCAGCAGGAGTAACAATAGAGGAATATCGCGATGTTCTGGAACAAGCCCTGCTTAACGTTCTAGGTAAAATTACAGAATTTTATGTTTGATATCGTGAAGTGCATCCACTACTTTACGTGTTCATGTAAACTATGTGTGAAGAGAAAAAAGGAAGAAAAAAGTTCATATTGTAATATTGGAAATTGTTATCCTTTTGTTTCAAATTCTTTGGACAAATCATCAAGAATTTAAAATTTTAATAATTCAAAAAGTAAACTAGAGGTACTGTGAGCAATGAGCTCACTAAATGATACCCCCCGCCTCCCATATGAATATAATGGCAGTGTCCATGTTTTGCTCTGGAAAATCCAAAATATATGTCAGATCAAAAAGTAAAATAGGAGGTGCACAATGGCAATATGTAATGAAGATTCTGTGAAAGTTTCATTAAATTTCCTTCAGTGGTATGAGAGGAGTCGCGGATAAGAGATGGGTACCCCAAAGCGTAACAGACGGACGGAAATACCGATTACTATATACCCTCCCACTTTTCAAGCTGGGGGTATAATAATCGTTATTTCATTTGTTGAAACTTTTCTCTACTTCATATTCTAGATGCACGCTGGGGATATCTCAGTTTGATTCCTAACTTAATGCATCACTTTGGATGGCATCCTAATGTGAAATTATATGAGTTAATTGGAGGCTTATTTGAAAAGAAACTTGGAAATAAAGATGTTACCTTCAAAGAGGTAAGACAACTCTTGTTATGGTAAACATATTTAAGGAATGTCTGACAAAAATTTTATTGGATTAAAAAAAAGTTATTAAAACAATATAATATAAAAATATTATAAATGTATTCGGTAGGCTGTGACAACTGTAAACATTTATTTGATCACCTTACTTTTTCAGGTTTTATAAAATATGAAGCTATTAGTCTAATTACATAATATGTCACGTCTTATTATTGCAAACTTTCAATATTCTGTTGAAGCTAGATTCATTCGATTAAAGGTAAAAACTCGTTATAAAAGCAGTAAAATTGAATATATTTTATTCATTCTAATTAATTATACATGGCGATTGCATCTAAAAATAACTGCTAGATAACATTATTCTATTTTAAAAGAAAAAATGTCACATTCTGTATTTTTACCCCCGAAATACGCTTTGTGTCTTACAATTTTATTAAATTTAAGATGTATGATAAAACTGGAAAGGAAGTCTGTATCGTTGTGGCCAACCTGAATTACCTCAGAGAAGAGTACTGTCATCCTAAAACTACCCCGGACATGCCAATCCGAATAGCCATACGCATGTCTTGCTCTTTTCCGGGTGAGTATGCAGTAAAGTTCCCTTTCAATTTTATCTTTTCAGAAAAATCATTTCCATATATACGAGGGTTGTTCGAAAAGTTCGTGGACTACCGTCAAATCTTTTTTATTTGACGTCATATTTTATCCAAATTTGGTAGAAATATTTTAACAATAAATCCAAAGGATTTGTATTAATTTTTTTTAAATACCACGATTTCTTCAGAACTTATCCAGATTTAAACTAGAGGTACTGTGAGCAATGAGCTCACTAAATGATACTCCCCGCCTCCCATATGAATATAATGGCAGTGACCATGTTTTGCTCTGGAAAATCCAAAATATATGTCAGATCAAAAAGTAAAATAGGAGGTGCACAATGACAATATGTAATGAAGATTCTGTGAAAGTTTCATTAAATTTCCTTCAGTGGTATGAGAGGAGTCGCGGATAAGAGATGGGTACCCCAAAGCGTAACAGACGGACGGACAGATGGACGGACGGAAATACCGATTACTATATACCCTCCCACTTTTCAAGCGGGGGGGGGGTATAAAAATGCAAAGATCGGATCGCGGAGCAGGTCAAAATTTAGTAAGTTACGAACAATACACTAAAAAATGTCTGTAGTCATATTCTCTGTAAAATGAAGCAAAAACGAAAAACAACCAAGAACCCAAATTTAGAATTGTCACATCGATTCGTATTCCAAATTATTGCTTAATATTTTGCTTTGTTGAAAAGAAATCAGCTTGAGAAGATAGGTAGTCCTCGTTAAAACGACAAAAACGATGACGTTTTAGAACGTCAAGGAGCAGCCGATAACGATGCAGTTTTGCCTTTTACTCAGGAAAAATCCTGAATAAATTCAAAAATGCTGAAGGAATAAAAAAATATCTCACAAGCAAGTTGTGCATATGTGTACAAAAAGTTTAGAAAAGTATTTGAGTGACAGAGACTTTGTATCAGATGAGGACAATCTGTGAAGAAACGTTTATCTGCAAAAATCTTAAAAACTTTTAAAAGTTTGAACGTCAAGGAAAGACATAGGCTCTTTAGAGTTGCGTACCCTGTGAAAGTAGAGTTAGGTAATAAAAGAAATTGAAATCCTAACAAAGGAAATTATAAAACGAGTGCAATTCTTAAAAAATGAATTTCAAGTATTAGAAAAAGGATTTAATGATTGGACATGGATTATGCTTTGTTAAATGTAAAGGAATAGTATATTTAAAGATTATATTATACTTATTTTAAATTTCTAGTGAGTAATTTAACGAAGATTGACATCGTCCACGAACTTTTCGAACAACCCTCGTACACGTATGTCGATTCGATATATCCCAGTGAATTTGAAATTAATGACACCAAAAAATCTGCCACATCTGTTTCATTTTTGGAAGATGTACTGACTAGTATACGATGTGTACATCTCCCAATTAGTTCAATACTCCAGAGCATACCACGAATACGATCAGTTTTAAAACGAGTCAAGCTAATGACAGATAAGTTCCTGTTTCAAGGATTTCAATAATCTTGTTTGGGATCAGCCTTCTCGTAAATTCTATGGTCATTATAATGACCTTGTTATCAAATAAAACCTGTCATTGGTTGGTTCGTATTTTGACTGGCTTAATTGTTAGGGTTTATACGGAATTTGACAACGGAATATTCTGTCTATTTTATCAATATATAAAGCTTTCGGCGGATGTGACCTGTCGGCGGGGATGCTGGCTCCTCTTAGGCACCTAATCCCACCTCTGGAATTCCCAGGGGTTTGTGTCTATACCCTACTCACATATTTGTACTGGTGTAAGATTTTTGATATCGATAACTGTCTGTATTTTCACCCTTTCATCTATCACAATATTTGCAAATATTTGAAGGAATTTTTTGTATTGTCTATACTCAGTGCTATAAAGTGGTACCTTATTTTTCTTTTTACATCCGGCAAAAGCATGTACTTTATCAGAGGCTGAAATTAATTAGTTGTAAGAGTATATATTGTAAGTCATTTGTAAATTGTTATTTCATGTTTCTTTTGATTTCCTTTAGGCGTTATGCAGGCTGTCCAGTACACACAAAACAATGAAACATGTACTTATATCGACGGAGCTGTGTCCTGTTACTATCCGATATACTGCTTTGATGGTAATTTGGTAATCTTTGCTACATTTTATTTATTTTTTGTGGATAAAACACCGCTTAACTTGCAGTTTCTATCAAACTTCTTCTGTCATTTATCCCTTTTTTTATCTAAAGCCATTGAAGCCATAAACGAATTTATAAATCGAAACCTTTTGGTTTTGTCCTCATTTAAAAAAAAATACTGTATGTTTAAATAGGCAAACTCTGGCTATTTATAAAACGGAAACCATATTATGGTTTCCGTAATTACATGTGTTAAAATAATGTGTGTATTTACATATTAAATATGACGGGAGTAAGAAGGTATTGAACATTAATTTAAATATGAATATAAATACTGTATATGCAAAATTGGTTTTAAAAAAATCTACGCTTCGATCTGGAAAACAATTTTCATAAAATTTTAATAAATTTACAAGCTTTAAAGTTCTCTTATGTGAATGTGTGTATGTATTTTATATTTTAGTCTACCTGGTAACTTGAATACCTTTAATACATGTCAGATAAATTTCAAGTTATCTTTATCTCTTAAAACGAGTTCTGTTGTCGACTCGAGTCATTTGTAAAATAGTTGGAACTTAGATATGTCAGCTTTTTAGAAAAGTTCAGGCAGAACTCTTACTTCAAAACTATTTATTAAATTCAAATTTTATAAAATTTTGAAATGAAACAACATAAACTGATCACCATTCAATGAAAGAACTGTTTAAAAAATTCATAAAGAAGCAAGATTTTATTGGGGACTATTTCTTGGGGTGGAAAGATATTTAGCAGAAATTTCTGCAAATCTGCACACTTATTTGATTAATATCTTGGAAATTAAGCCTCACTTACTTTTTTTAAGCTTTTACTCGGACAACATTTTTCGTTATGATAGATATGCTAGGAATATTAAATGTAGGTCTCAATTTATATTTTAATTAAAATTTTAAAACAAATTTATCACCTTTCCTCAACAAACTTTGTCGAGAAATGAAGATAAATTAAAGAAGTCAAAATAGAATTTATACCGTTTTTTGTTTGAAAATCGCATATTTTGACCAATATTTCAAAATTTATATCAATGACCATGTAAAAGGTTTGATACAAGAAAATATTTAATTGCCTATTTAGATTTTTAATACCTTTTACATTTTTAAAGCAAAAAGGTCATACATTACTAAATGGTAATTTGCAAGATTTGTTCAATGAAAAATATTATTTAAAACTATTTTACGTAAAATAAGATTATATTTATTGCCATGATTAAATCTGATAAAATAAAAAAGGTGATTAACCAAAGAATTAAAATTTAAGTGCAAAAAGGTAAACTTGATTGTACCGTAGCTCAGTAAGATTTACACTGACCCTCTGTTTTTCATCTGCGATTTTAAGTCATACTATATGAATACTTATCCAAAATATACTTTTCAAAAATCCTCGATATAACTAATTTCATGAGTGACTTACCTTTTTTATTTCGTTTTTTTTTCTGTAGGATGGTGGCTGTCTATGGAGAAAGGTAACAGCTTTATAGAACGACTTCATCCCTTAGATGATGTACCTACTTTAATGAAGAATGAAAACAGATTCAAGAGGGATCCAGCCACGTTCAATAAAACACTAGGCTTCTATCTGGTAATCTTTGTTAGGATTATGTTTTAAATGCTGTCAAATTTTGAGGTTTGTAAGGTTTGAATAGAAATAACATTTTACGCATTGTCAGTATTTTTTGTTTGTTTGGGTTTCTTTCTGTTTCATCTGTGTCATCCGATAACATTAAATGAATTGACGTTATTTTAAGATTTTTCAATTTTAAAAATATTTAAACACAAATAACTCCGACGTGAATTAAAGTCCTAAGGAATCGCGGTAATTATTTTAGAATCTTGAAGTCAACTTTATATCGTAGGATGAATTCATGTGAAAGTCTCTACTATGTAATAGTAGTATTTAAACATCAGTTTTTTTACAACAATTGACAACAACTGCGTTATTGTACGAAACAGTTCTTGAAGTGAAAAGTGAAAAGTTTTTACACAAAATACGTTTTAATAGTTGGTATCCATATAAATAAACACATAGAACAAATAAGTAGTTTCATATTACAAAATGTACTCAAAACATTTTGATAGATTGCTTCTTTTCTTGTCGATTTGTATGTTTTTTATGTTGTGTTACAATAAAATCCCTGTAACAATTACCTCCATACATGTACATAAAGATTTAGGGTAACATTTACCTACATACAACTACATGTACATGTATTTAGATTTTAGCTTTGAATTGGGTCAACAATATAACATTGTGAACCTTGGACTCTTGTTTACTGGCTTAATTGAAGAAAAAAAATTATTCATGAATTCTACTTCAATAATATTTTTTTCTTATTCACACAGTATTCAGAATGCAGAAGCGACCACGTAAAGTGGGAACTGGAAAAAAGAATGGGAATGGACGTCTACGAGTTACCAGACACAAAACTAGCAAGGTATGAGTACGCTGAATGAGTGAGACAATGAGAAAGGTTAACAAGTAAATTAGCCAACAATTTTGAGTGTATACTCACCATAAATAATGTCAACGTATACTGAGCATATCTTTGTAACCATATGTTTATACATGTAGCATACTTGTATGTTTGGCATACTTGTTTACTGTGCTTGTATTTTAGCATAATTGTTCTGATGACTTGTACAACATCTTAATTCTTATGTTGCTATTTTACATTCTTGACTTTAGAATTTAGATTTAATTTTGTTATTTATGATCTACCAGTTTAAAGGTTTTAAAGTGCTTCCTTATGTTAATTTAAAATGATATTCTGTCATTCACCTGTGCTGTATAAATTCTTTGTTAACAAAGCTTTTACAATTTGCCTTTCAATGCTCTTTTTTTCCCAGAAAAATGGGGAACAGAAGACGATACGTTGATCGGGCGTCACGTGAACACAGGCGTCTCGTCCGAGCACTGGATGAATTTTTAAAGGTTTTCTTAAAACATTCAAAATTTATCATTGATATATACTGAATACAACTAACATAAATATGCATAAATTCTATATACATTTAATATTACTGTAAGTAAATACCATTTATTTTATTTTTTCGTTAAGGTCATAAAGAAAATGGTAATTGACAAATCGTCCATAACCAGAGATGCTTTTGAAGAAGCTTTTGACGATGTAAGTTAAATTTGAAAAAAAATGTGCATAGAATGAAGTTGATTTTGTCTATGTCTCTATGTAAAATTCCTTCAATTTTACACAATATAAGAAACGGTTGTAAATATCTGTTTAGGATGATGTTCAGGAACAAAGTTTCAGAATTTTATTCGGAGATGAGTGTTCTGTCGGGGAAGCATTTAACATTTTAGACGAGGACGGAAATGGAGAGGTAATGCTTCATAATTATAAATTATTTGGTCACAAATTGCTACATGTATTAAAATCATATCATTATTTTAAGTTATCAAAGCTCATCGTGTTTTTCTATTTAAGTTTATTCAAATAAACATATACCTTAAATGATATTTTGATAATTATTAGCACGTTGATAGATTTTTTTGTTGTTACTTTCTTATTAATGAGGGATAATGGATATTTTACATACTTATTTAATGTATTTAGATAAGTTATTCCGAGCTAGTAGACTTCATACAAGGTATCGGAGTACATATTCAACAAAGAATATATGGACTTGAGAAACTGGAAGTGAATTCTATTTCATCTTTCATGTCCGCCATGTTGACTGCGTTTTGGGCAAATAAGAACAGGGATGCCAATTTGGTAAATATTTATATATGATTCAATTTACAAATACTGTGATGAAGTTTCATTAACTTTATGATCTTAAGGACGTTCAATCCTGAGTATTTGAGCGGATTTTGGTCCTTCCTTTATTTAAAAAAATTTGCAAAATTTTAAATTCTAACATTATATCTGGATTCCACAATGCAAATTGAAGTTTATTCAATGAAAAAAAACGCGATTAAATTCCATTCAAGTAGAATTAAGCTAGAACTATATTTTGTGGCGGGAGGATTTTAGAAGAAAATGGTCATTTGTTTTCTCTTGAACTATACAGTACTGTTAATTTTCAATCCCTATTTTTCAATGCTGGTTGCTCAAAAGCTGTTTTTTGCAGTGAAATGTGTTATGCTGGTTCTGAAATATCTAATATCAAACTATTTCTTATGAATTCATTTAACAAAGAGTGACAAATATGGTAAATATATTCTGAAAATCCGGGAAAAAATTGAGCCAATTTTAACATAAAATTTACACTTTTTTTGGTAATAACTGAAAATTTACATCATATACCCCCACTTTTGATGTTATTTTCTAAATATTTAAGATAACTTTGACCTATTTGCTTAAATTCAGGAAAAAGTTTAAGACTTTAAAATAATTACATGTATCTTGCTTTTTAAATGCCAGAAAAATCACATTTTATTAGTGGTCAAATAATTAATTATGCGAGGCAATTTGAAACTTTGTTTTAGTCACAATTTTAAAGTGTCTTTTTTTAAAATACACTTAGAGTTCATTTTGTTTCATGCTTTAATTGGATAAAAATATATTGGAGGGAAAACGCCGAAGATGTAATTTTTAATAAAGACACAAATTTCAGTGCAAAAGGTCATATTAGAAATACTGTAGCGCCAAAAAAAGCATATTGACCCCCATTTTTTGATTTGAATTTTAATTAAGCTACGTATGTAGAAACTAAAAATATACAAGGCAAAAAAAAGTTTAAGATTTTAAATATCAGCTCGAACGTCGTTAATATCTGTTAAGCCAAATGATGCTATAATTTTGATTGTTATGCAACTGTTACAACGCTCTTTGGAAAATTACGCACTTTGAAAAAAAATTTTCAAAGTGCATGAAATTTGGAACTAAATTAACGCACTTTGAAAAAATAAAATTTCTTTTCAAAATGCGTTAATGTCGACCATATTAACGCACTTTGAAAAAATATATTCTTGCAAGTCTTAGGTATGATAAATAATTGAACCTGTTTGATAACTCTTCGGTGATGAGGTCACTTCAGGATGTGAAAGTGAGCGATTTTGATTTTTCTATGCTTTGAAAATTCTTTTCTCTCTTAAATGTTTTACTGTAACTATTTTGTTCCAGTTTGCATGCATTTTATGTAAACTAATATTTATTGAAAGTTTTCAACGTCATACCAGTTATGCAAAGATATATATATATATATATATATATATATATATATATATATATATATATATATATATATATATATATATATATATGTGGGTGTAACATAGGCATCGGTACCGGAAGGGGGGCTTAGGCACACAAATGTTTTGCAAAGATTAACATATTATAGGCATTGAAAATTGGGCTTACCTTTGTGGGGATCCATTTTCAATTTGCTACCGACGGCTATAAAGTATAAAAAAAAAACCCAACAGTTCAGCTACTTGTTCTCATGGAGGTTAAATGAGTATTTGTAAATTTAAAAGTTTTTCGAAAGATAAAACTATTATAAATTGATTCTCTCAATTACTAAAATCTAAGTCTAGAATTTTTGTTTATACATATTTTTTTTTCAAAGTGCGTAAAATGTCCCTGTGGTAAAAAATTGCATATGTACACTCTTAACGCACTTTGAAAAAAATTTCAAGGTGCGTTGAGTGTGTCCCAAATTCAACGCACTTTTAAATTTTTTTTCAAAACGCGTTGATTTTGTCCCAATTTTAACGCACTTTGAAAAAAAAAATTCAAAGTGCGTAATTTTTTTCAAAGTGCGTTGCCACGTGCCACCCGGCAAAGTAAATCATTAAAGTCTTTATAAATTTGGGTTCATATAAATTATCAACGCTTGAAATTTCTATTTGCATGTTTTTTTCTTCCGAAAGTTTTGTTACTATGAAATATACTGCAGTCAAAAAAACAAAAATATTTTTCAGAGATTCAACTGATTACTGTATGGTACAAATATCAGGATTTGCTTTTGCGTTTTCCAATTGGTATATGTTTCGTTGGTCTATAACGAATTACGAATTTTATTCCAGGATGTCGAATTAGACAGGACAGTCGGAATAAATACAATTTATGTCGACACTCATGACTATACCTTGGAAAAAGAAGACATCGTGTTTCTCGAAAAGGTATCTTAAAATTCAAGGTATAGTTAATTTCTAAGTATTTAATAAAATTACTTATTAATATTCTTTATATTTTGTTTACAGCAAGGATACAATGCAACAATGGTCTTTCTACGGTATTTTATTGCGAAGTCGGGATTCACAATCTGACCTAAAAAAAAAATCCAACTCATCGGAAAAAAACTGTGCTCTCTTTGTACTTTACAGTGACTTGAAGATTCAGCCTGCTTTGTTTATGTCAGCGGATTTCGTTTGTTTTAAATTTGTATTCTTGTTAATAGCCTCCCAGTTCTCTATGCATCTTATGATATATTTTTTCCTCTAATTTTATTTCCCTGATTTCAAGCTTTCAATATGCAGAAGGCGAGCAATCTATTTAGCTATATTACTCGTGCCTGCAATCATTATTCATAATTTTTTATACCTATCTAAAACTGAAATACATTGTTATCGGTCAAAGCGAGGGAACTCGTGCTTCCTAAAATTGGTATCAAGTAAACATGGATGCTTAAAAAATTGCAGGGAAGTTTTAGAAATTAAACCACAATTTTTTTTTTTAAATCAATAACTTCAAAACTTACGACTTACATGTGTAACTCTATATACAAACATTCCTGCGATAAATTAAAATCCATCCTTTTTGACGTCATTAACAGATACTTTTTCATTAACAATTGTACTCATATTTTCTTACCTTGTCAGTGGTCATTCGCCGAATTGTTTTGTTAAAAATTCTGATTGTACACACAAACACTCTGAAATTGAAATTAAAAAGATGCTTGAGTTTCTGGTTGACAATATCTATTAGGTTTTTCTTCCACCAATCTTTTGGATTTCCCCTGAGTACCAATTGCGATCCATTATAAGCAGAACATTTGTATTCAAATGAACCAGAATTTCTTAGAAATGAAAAGAAGAAAATTTTAGCTCTGTTTTAAATATATCAACGACGTAATATCAATTAACAATAGCTATTTCCATTCATATATCAACACGATATATCCCAGCAAACTTGAGATAAAAAATACCACATATTCAGAAACATGTTTCATATTTGCAAAGAAGGTACGGTTTTAGCTTTATTGTGCCCTCAAAACGTAATGTCATCAAAAAGCTTTGAAAATGGCTAAATTATTAGTTGAATTTATGACTGTGATAGATCAGGAAAGAATATGGCATGAAGGATTACCTTTTTCTAATATAACGTCATTAGTGTGATGTATTTCTCCATTTTAAACGGAAATCGCTTAAAAGTGGTCCATTTCAAGGGTAATTTTCCTTTAAAATAGTGTCCACAGCCGTCGCCCACATATATTTTTTGATATGTTGTGCAAAAGTCAATAAAAAAAAATCACATATCTCAAAATCTTTGTCGGCGATGCCTGTGGACAATATTATCTGAAAGAACATTCCGTTAAATATTGGCGTCTTCTGCAACTTTTTAAGATTTGTATAAACACGTTTATTGAATTCTAACAACAAAACTTTCTGATAAACATGATGACTTTAACTTTTCAATCGTCAACTTAGCAATAAACCTTCATCACCTGCACACGGTATTCATATCTATCAGTTGATTCGATACACAAGAACATGCTCTACGAGTGAACCATATGTCCACACGATATATCCAAATGAGCTTGAAATTAAAATAAACCACAGTGTCTGACACATCTGTTTTATATTTGTAATTTTACTAGAAAAAGACCTTCATGGTAATCTAACAACAAAGCTCTATGATAAACCTGTTGATTTGAAGGTCTTCATCGTCAACTTTCTTACTTAGCAATATATCCTTAACACCTGCATATGGTGTTTATATCTCTCGGTTGATTCGATACACAAGAGCATACGTTCTACGAATGAACCATTTCTACAACGAGGTAAGTTATTGAATAACAAGTTGATGAAACAAGAATATAGAAAATGTTGTTTAAAGTCATTTTGTAAATTCTATGGCCAAAACAATGACTTTGTCAGCAAATATAAAAATGATTCTTTTGGATGTAAGGTCACTATTTACTCGCTGAGTTGTCCATGGATTCTTTCCGTTATTTGCCCATCATGACATGGAACACATAGCGAGTGTGACCGGTCGGAAGGGGATGCTCACTCCTCCATGGCACCTGATCCCACCTCTGATGTTTTGGAGGTACGTGTTTGCTCCGCTCCTATTTTGTAACATTATTATATTAAACGGATTTTTTCAGCTCGAATACTGTTCGTTATCTCCATATACATTGTACTCCATATATTTCATTAATGTGTCATTACCAAGAAATTGAAATATCGTTTTAGTTTCAAATTCATAGTATTTCAATGGTTGCATTAAAATGAATAACTGAAAATTCAAAGTATGACTTTATTGCTGAAGCATTTGTTTTTTATATCAAAAGAAGCGGTCTTAGTTTCTCATAAAATATTGCAGTAAGCGTTGAAAAGTCGTGCACTTTATAAAGCTTTTTCATTTTGAAATGAAATATAGAAATAACAAACCGTATAATCATGTTCAAAGTCCTTTCAAAGACAGATCGGGAGCAGAGCAAACACAGAATTCAATAAAACATCAGAGGTGACTGAGATCAGGTGCCAAAAAAGAGGAAGCATCCCCTGTCGACCAGTCTCTTCAGCTATGTACTCCTTGTCATGATCGGGAATTAAAAAGTCCATTCAGCAGTCGACTTAATGATGGATTGTATTTGGTTACAAGGCAATTATACAGACCATAGAAATGATGACTTAAACAAGATTATAGACATTCTAAAAAGTTGTATCGTCAAACTGTCTGCCAAATGTTTGCTTCGTTTTAGAGATTGTTCATACGTAAAGCATGTTAATGAGCATCGAACTCATTTGGAGGCATATAAAACCCGTATTCAGGTGATTAGGACATAAATTGCAACATAAGTAAGGGAAGTTGACGATAAAAAAAATATCATGTTTATCTAAAAGTTCTGTTAGATTACCATTAATAAAGAATATTTGTCTTTTTAGGTCACCTGAGTAAACGCAGGTGACCTATTGCTATCTCCGTCGTCGTCCGTCGTCCGTCGTACGTCGTTCGTCGGTCGTAAACTTTTGAACACTTTTAGCTTCTTCTCTGGAACCACTCAAACTATTTCATCCAAATTTGGTATACAGCATTTATGGGTGAAGGGGAACAAAAATTGTGAATTTCATGGTCCCTGCCCTGTGGCAACGCACTTTGAAAAAATTACGCACTTTGTAAAATTTTTCAAAGTGCGTTAAATTTTGGGACCAGGTTAACGCACTTTGAAAAAATTAATTTTTTTTCAAAGTGCGTTAATATCGACCATATTAACGCACTTTGAAAAAAAAAAATTCTGCATGTCTTAGTCAATATTCCTACAAATCTTAGGTATGATAAATTATCATTTGAACCTATTTGATACTTTTTGTCCCCCGCTTGAAAAGTGGGAGATATTAATTTGGGTCTATCTGTCAGTCCATCCGTCTAGCTGTCCGTCCATCCGTCTTTCTGTAACGCTTTCGTTTCCACACGATACCTCGCCAACCTTTGAACATTTGCAATGAAATTTAACATAACAGAATCCCTGTGGCTTTAGGAAGACCCCTTTTGAATTTGGGGTCAAAAGGTCAACATTCAATGTCGTAAAGAACTACGAACGATAGTATTGTTCTTCCGCCCATCTCTTAGTCAATTCTCAAAAGTTAACATATTGGAATGATTCTAAAAAGATTTATAGATATTTATATGAATTTTCATAAAACCTTACTTATTTGGGATACCAAAGAGAAATAACTCCATAATTTTGGCAAAACTTGTGTTTTTTTTAAAAACCTGGAGTTTAACAGAGAGATTATCAGATATGGTGTCAAATTAACAACGAAAAGCAGACAGGTACTGTAGATTCCTTAATATAAGCGAGGAATTAATTTCTGCGTAATTTCGCAAGAAGCATCACTCGCAAAAAAAATATTACTCGCTTTTATTTTTCTGATGCTTAAATCTATGTAAAATCTGTTCATTAACAGTTCATTTGCGAATTATAATTCTAGCGATTTGACGTTTGAGAGCCAGTTCGCGATAAAAAAAAAAACACTCGCGAAAAATAAGGAATTTACAGCTAGTAATTAATATTCTGATTTTCCTGAAAATGAACATAAATAGACTTTGAGATTTAAAAGAACAAAATTTCGATTTACTACAGACTTCCTTGTACAGTGCTTATACTGTGTTTAGAATGCTCTTTTTTTCAAATATCATTGACACTTAAGGTAACGAGTTATAGAAATAGATATATCTGGGTGGGAATGATAAAGAGTTGAGCTGATAGACCTTAATTCAGCCAGTCTTTTCTTCGTTTTCCGTTTCTTGGTTTTCTTCAATCCATCAGTTTTTAGAAAGAAACATATCAAAGTAAGGGCACCGCAAAGCGGAGCATTCCTTCCCAAAAAAGCATGTTCAGTAAATCATTTGACATCGATCCCAATACAAATTACGTAAATTCCACACAGAAAAAACTAATATACACATAAAGTAATAACACACATAATCGCATCACTATATCCCATCATACGTTGCGAGGGGATAATACTGTTGTCTATTTCAAAAATATAAGTCTAATTCCTTTTGTTTCATGAAAATTTTTTCAAAGTGCGTTAAATGTGTACATGGTGTAAAATTATGATGTACAGTTTTAACGCACTTTGAAAAATTTTTTCAAAGTGCGTTGATTTGGTCCCAAACTCAACGCACTTTGAAAAAAATTTTCAAAGTGCGTTAACCTGGTCTCAAAACTTAACGCACTTTGAAAAAATTTTTCAAAGTGCGTAATTTTTCAAAGTGCGTTGTAACACTGCCCCCCATTGGGCCTGAGGGGTGGGACCAAAACCACTAAAATTAATGCAATCTTTAAACGTCTTCTTCTTTACTCCTGGACATCAAGCAGTCAATTTGTTTGCATGATTGCAATCAGCATTAAGCCCTTTACCAAAATTGTGAAATTCATGGCCCTGGGGTCAGGGGTTTTATCGCTAGGGCGAGGCTAAATAGATTATATAGTGAAAATGCATTATTTCTTTGAAAGTCTTCTTGTCTGCTCCTGGGCATTGAATAAACGAAATAAAAATATAGTTATGCTGAATAAGGCTGCCTCTTCCAAAATTGTGAATTTTATGGCCCCAGGGTCAGGGGTTCTTAGGTGCTAGGGCGGGGCTATATAGATTATATAGTGAAAATGTATTATTTCTTTGAAAATCTTCTTTCCTCCTGGGTATTTGAAAAACAAACTGAATACATAGTTCTTTTGAATAAAACTGCCTCTTCCCAGTTGTGAATTTCAT